TGATGCTGCTTGGCCTGCTGTGTTCATCCAGCTCTACATCTTGTTGTCTCGGAGACTTGAAACCAGAACTGCAGAGTCTCCAGCTCTCGATATCCCCAATGTGGAGGGCTGCTTCCTAACAATTAGCCACGGGCCATGTGCTGGCCTAAAGCCAGAAGCACTCATTTCGCAGGAGAATATGTATTTTTTTAAAGAAAGCTCTGACCTGAATACCATATAGAGTCACACACAGTTATCTATTAATAGGCGAATTGGAGGAATGCATCTTACAGCTGCTGCCAGGACTGACTACACAAATACCAATCAGAGTCACTGGGGATACTTTAACATCTGCCTCCAGGTTGAGTGCAGTGAGGTGATTCGTGTCCTTACTGTCAATCAGTCTTCTGCAACAGGCAATATTGTACGGATGACAAGCCGGCCATCGTTTCATCTTATTACACATCAGACTGGCAATCAAAACCATTCAAAGTTCATTGTCCTTGAGGAACACACCCGTTTTTATTCTTGCAGTCATTGAGAATACTTCAAAGGGGATTTTCATTTAACCCCGTTCGCCAGGAGGGAAAAAAAAGCGTAAGTTTCATTTCGATTTTCGCAGGGTAAGCTAAGGAAAGTCATTATTGTTGACTCATTATGCAGAAGTTGCTGCATTTGAACAAACAAAATAGGAAGTTTGGGCGTAAATTGTAGCTTTTTGGATAATTATTAGAAATGGTTTACTCGAAGTATGGTTGAGATCGGCTGGCATTTTTTTTAGGCACAATCGTTTGCTATAGTATAAAATGGCTAGGACTCAAATATATGCTGGCAATTTCCTGCCGTCTCAATAGTACATGGTCCAATGTAACATTGTGAGAGTGAAGTGATGGGCTGGGATGGAGCATACTCCGTTTGCTTGGAAGAGTGCAGCTTCAACCACTGAAGCGAATTGTGCACCATTATCCAGCTTCCTTCATCACTAGAGCTCTCCAACAAGCACCAAGACATTGCTTGGCTGGTGATGGAAAGGGTATTATTACCTGTGAGATCCCTCGTGCATGCCCAGGCTCTCTGCGCCACCACACACTGCCCTCGAAGCAGCTGCTGGTGGGTTTGAGACTGTCACACATCTCCTTTTGGAATGTACCTTTGCAAAGGACGTCCGCGGAGAGGTGCAGTGGTTTTGTCGGGGTTCATGCCGAGCAGCTCCATGACGCAGGAGCCTGTGCTGTGGGATGTACACCGAGACAAACATCGACTGTGCATGGAGGATTGACTAATAAGGTGAAAGACTGTCTTTGGTCTGCCCAAAACATGTTGGTCTTCCAGAACAAGAAGTTGACCCTGACTGAGTGTTGCAGACTGGCACATTCCAAGGCCCAGGACTACGTGCTGAGGGACACACTAAAGCTCAGGGCAGCTGCCACCAAAGCGCAGCAGGGAAAGACCACCCTCTAAGGTCTTTCTGCTGAAGTTAAATGGGGTGTGTTCACTTATTGTAGAATCATCATAGAATCCCTACAGTGTGGAAACAGGCCCTTCAGCCCAACAAGTCCACACCAAACCTCAGAGCATCCCACCCAGACCCATCCCCCTGTAACCCACACATCCTTGAACACTGTGGATAATTTAGCATGGCCAGTCCACCTAGCCTGCACATCTTTGGACTGTGGGAGGAAACCGGAGCACCCGGAGGAAACCCACGCAGACACGGGGAGAATGTGCAAACTCCACACAGACAGTCGTCCAAGGGTGGAATTGAACCCAGGTTCCTGGCGCTGTGAAGTAGCAGTACTAACCACTGAGCCACCGTGCCGCCCTGTTGTACCACCACGCCCCCACTCCTAGTGTCTCAAATGTATGTAAGTATAGTCTCGTACAAGTAAGAGATGTCTTTGAGATCAAGTTCCTTAAGATGCTTTACCCCAGCATCTGTGAAGAGAAATCAGAATTAATTTTTCTGGTCCAGTGCCCCTTCCTCAGAGGTCTGAACCAAACTGTTAACTCTGATTTCTCTCCACAGACGCTGCCAGACCCGCTGAGTGTTTCCAGCAGTTTCTGTTTTTGTTTCTGATTTCCAGCATCTACAGTTCTTTTGGGTTTATTTTAAAGAAATGCCTTTGGTTTGTTTGGATAGTGTCAAACTCCAAAGCTTGTTTGTTTGTTTGTTTCTTCATATGCTACTGTATAGAACCGAATTGCTTTAGGGACAATGTATATAAAGATATTTGAGGAATAAGGTATATTTTGGAAATTAAAAAAATTATCCATTCAGTTTGATCTGCACACTACACGTCGTCTTAAACAGTCACTCGCTCCATCTCTGGGGCATCCGTTCCTACCTTCACAAGATATACCGCTGCAGTTTTCAATAGCTTCACAATCTCTACCATTTGGAAAAATAAAGGCAGCCGACAGCATTGCTTGTAAGTTCCCCTCCAAGGCACTCACCATCCTGATTTGAAACTCTGATTCATTTTTGCTGGGTAAAAGTCCTGGAACTGCCTTCCCACCAACTCTGTACAGATGCTTGTATTGTATAGAATGCAGCAGCCCAAGGTGGGTCACTAATCACTGAAGAACAATAAGGAATGGAGAATGAAAATGCCACGGATGAATAAAAAAGAGCTGTGCATTCAGTCATCGACACCATCTTGCATGTATATATAACTGGGGTAAAGCATCTTGAGGAACTTGATCTCAGTTGAGAATTTCAGTGAATAACCAGATGATAAGTGATATTTACAGATTTATAAAAAATATTAATAATGCAAATTCATTGTGAGCAACCTTGCCTGCTGTCAATGCACCTGCAGATATTTAAGAAATGCAGCCATTGGGAGATGCATGAGTCCTCTCTTATGGGATGATCTCTATTTTGAGTATACACGAGTATACATTGAGTATTTTGAGGTGTGAGGGCTCATGACATTGTAGATAAGTTTGGAGGGGAAATGTATGCAAATGATTTACAACAAATACGACCAATTGGGCCATCTAGCCTATTTCATCAAGTCAAGGTGTAAGTTCTGATTATGGTGATCGCTGTATCACCATTCACCTCCCCAGGCTGGCCAAAGAATTACCTGGGAGAGGTAAATTAGAAAATCAATACAGGCCAATTCTAGTGAATCAAATGGGGACAGTTACTTCTCAACATTTCTGCTAAGATGGTGGCAGAGTGGGGTACCTAGGTTGGATCTCGTCCGCTCCAGTGGCTTTTCTTTCTTCTTTTTCTCACTTTTATTTCTTTCTTCTTTTAAAATTTTTCTTTCTTCTTACCTTCTGAAGGTAGCTGCGGCGATGGCAGCAGCTGGGGGCCCAGAGCAGGGACTTTGGCAGTCAGCCACTGGGAAGTTGGTGTGCCCCGGCCAGAACTCTGTTGGTCGGCACCATTGTGGAAGCGGCTGGTGGCCTGGAGCAGCTCCAGAGTGGGACTCAGGCAGCCTATGGCAATGTGACCATTGAGTTCTGATCGTGGTCAGCAGCAAGACGGCTGCGTGGAGGTGTGGTGGTCGAGAGATTGAGCCCAGCGCAGGACAGAGATCAAACCCGCATGGGAGAGAGATCTAGCCCTTGTGGGGAAAGGCCAGTGCGGAGTGACTGCAGGTCCATGGCTAAAGAAGGACTGTAATTTGTAACCTTTAACTTTATTTCGTATTTACTACTTTATACTGACAAGAACTGTAATATTGAACTTTTAACATTGCTTTATCTTCCCAAGATTTTGTACCTAGATACCTTGTACCTAAGACGGCACCATGAATAGTGACATTGTAAACTTTTCGCTGTACTTGAGTACAGGTGACAGTAAAACCTAATTCTCATTCAAATATAGTGTGCAAATAGTTCTTTGCATGCATGGTAAAGCACATTGTAAATGATATGCAAAAAGAAAAAGGCAGTTTTACACAGGAAACTACTCCCAAACAAATGGGCAAAACTGAATAAAACAAGAGAACCTTTGAATGTTGATTTTTCCCATTTTGCAAGTTTTACCGTTTAAATTTAGATGTTGAATTCCTGCCCGTTCTGCTTATGTATGGTGTACAGGCCAAAATTTGTAAAGTGATTAATTAAATCCGTTGGGGCTAGAGAGTGGAGGTGCGCTCCAGATTTGCTAAGGAACAAATAGATTTTCTATATTATTTTGCAAGGTTCTCTTCCAGTATGCTTTTTAATTCTTTAATTGTGCACTAACATATTTTAAGTTGTTTGATGAAGTGGTTCCATTCTCCAGCAGGTAAAGAGATGCCAAACCAATATATGAAAGGAAGCACGAACGAGACCGACAACAAAGAAGATGATGTTCCTACTGATGGAAAAGTTGAGAAAAACAGGTGAGAACCTCCACGTGAAAGATTATGGAGATTTAATTCCACCAGTTATGCAGTTACATCAATCACATGCAGTTATTATGCATTTTTATTTAATATGGTGATTGCATGACAAAGTATTCAATTAACCAAATCACTGACACGTTGAATTTTTATTGCAACATCTTTTCCATAAAATAATATCTTACTCAAGCTGTACTTTGTAACTGATCAGCTTACTAATGTAGTTTCATAATAATAAATATGTACAAAACTGATACACACGAATTCTGGTCTGTGATTTTGTGATTCTACGTGATCAGAATTCTCAATTTGTTTTTTGGTGTAAAATGACCTCAGCTATTTGTCCAATGTAATTTGTACTTTTACAAAATATTTTAGGAGCACCTATTGAAATAAGAAGTCAGCTTTATACATTTTCTGAAACTTTTGGTTGACTAATAAGATGAAATCTAATCTTATTTGTCAACAATGTTGAAAATTATGGGAAAAATAAAAATTAGGATAATTATGCCACAATTTATAATTATGAATTAAAAAGTGCTTTGATTTTGCATTAACTTCATCTTCCTTTAATGCAAAACACATGGTTGTGGCTGATTGTATAACACAATTGTTTTAATACTATTTTTAGAAACATAAAACAGGAAAGGATTCTCACAGAATATAATTTGTTAATTTATAGTGAAACAAAAGAAAAGGAGAAGAAGCCTAAAATGGTCAGCCCACTGGCTTTGGTAAGAGACATTTCCATGACTTTCCAAACATACTATATTTTTAGGACCCGATGAAGTGCTAAATATTATCAAAAGGGCCAAAATGCAGTCTTCATGAAGTGTACCCTGCACCTGAAAGAGTACTTACATGACAATGTTATCTCTTATGTAACCTTGAACTCTCGAATAAGAAAGTGTTATTACATGGATAGTTACCTCACATCAGGTGCCTCTTCCAAATTTGTGAAACACAAATTGGGTAATTATTCAGTTATGATTCCTGTTTTGTCAGCAACCATGACTGTTGAACTTTCTGTGAATTGTTACTTCAACCCTAGCCTCTTTTTTTACTATAATCATTCCATTATTGTTTCTTTGTTAGCAAAAGAAAGTGCTGTTAGGAACCTTCTATCTATATGAGTTGATAGATATACTGTAAATTCCTTGGAACTGGGATTTTTAAAATAAACCATTTATAGGATGAGGCCATTGCTGGCTAGGCCAGCATTTATTGCCCATCCCAGAGAGCAGTTAAGAGTCAACCACATTGCTGTGTGTCTGGAGTCACATGTTGGCCAGCAGTTTCCTTCCTTAAAGCATATTAGTGAACCAGATTTTTTTATTTGATGGTCACCATTAGACTCTTAGTTCCAGATTTTTATTGAATTCAGCTTCCACAATTAGCCATGGTGGAATTTGAACCTGGGTTCCTAGGACATTGTCAGGGTCTCTGGAATAATAGTCTAGCGATAATGCCACTAAACCATTGCCACCCCCAACTTTTCACATGATACACTTTTGCTGATGGCTGAAGAAATTAATCTGTGAGAGGGAAGTCCTGTTGTAAGTGCAGCATTAAAAATGACTACCAGTTGCTACTGCAGTTTATTGTTTCCTCTTGCCAAGCTGTTGTAGACATTGATGGTAACTAATGGTCTGGGAACATTGCTGGCCTACAAAGTGATGCTGCCTTTTCTGTGCTGTTGGCTAATGTCTCCCACATGTGAAAATCGATTGTGGTTTTTTTTTGGCCTTCGTATTAGGCCCGTAAGCTTGTTTGAAGTAGAACTTTGAGCAGCCTACCTGTCTTCTGGCTCTGGTTACCTCGCCTTGCAATATGTCCTTGGAACTGCATCTTCCTTCCATTCTGCCAACATGCCCAAGCTAATGAAGCCACCTCTTTGTGATGAGTGCTAGCATGCTTGGGAGACCTGCCTTTTGAGAAAACTGTGTAGCGTTCATGATTTTATCCTTCCTTGCGATGCCGCAAACATTAAAAATAAAAATTCTTTTCTTGATAGCTGTAAGTTGTCTAGGCTTCACAGCCATACAACAAGGTGCTGAGAACGCAGGTCATGTAAACCAAGATGTTGGACCTTGGTGCCTGACCTAGTATGCATGTTACCTCCTTTGTCAGCTGGAAAGGCTTGGAAAAGACAATACCAAAGTAGGTGAAGGGGCTAAAGGACATAGCCCTGTTTTGCTCCATTCATCATCCTGAAATTGTCAAAAGTGGTGCTGTCACAATATACGTTACAGTGCACTTTTTTGATGAAAGGAATGGATATGACTAAGGAGCATTGCTGGACAGCCAATTTTCTCCACTATTACCAGCTTCTCATTGTAATCATCCCAGTGTTGTTTCTTTGTTAACATAAGAAACTACAATACAAAATTCTTCATCTCTCTAGACTGAGCATAGATTGCAAAAATATGTGTACTTAACACTGTGCCTAATTCTGGTTTCTGGGAGTAATTTACGTTTGACTGTTTTCTTTCTAATTTGGAATAGTCTTTATTTTCTTCTTGCGGTCACTGAAAGTTTTCTTTCCGACAATTTTAGTTGTGCTTTATTTTGCTGTACACTTTGCTTTTACCTTTCTAATTCTTTTTAATTTTATTTACAGTTCTTCCTTTGTAGATCCAGCTACCAACTTCCCTAATTGTGTTTTAAGATTAATTGCTGCAAACAAATGTCTATTGCCTTTTGAAGGTCAAAGTTTTCTTCGCAGAAAAAAGTCTGCATCTTGTTTCCTGTGATGTAGACTACAATTCTACGTTTGACATGGTAATACAGGATGCTGCATACTTGCAGGCTTACTCCATGTTTTCAAGTCCTTTGCAAATTAGTAAATCAGCTATTTTGGCTTTTGAATTGAACTTGTATATATGAATGTCTAACATAAGTTGCATTTTCTCTGGCATGGAATGATCTTTAAATTTATTTGTTCAATAGTTTGCTTTCTCTTGTTTTTGGATATCGTTCCCAAGAGGCTTCAATTCTTCTTCTGTAAACATGAACAATAAAGTGTTGAGAGTCCTGAATACTCTTTTATCCCTTGAATACTCAGGTGTAGTACTATTTGTAGCACCAATAAGTAGTTCAACCTGCCAGTCTCCCTTTAAGCAAAATTCAAATGCTCAAGAATATTTTAGCTTTTAAAATTTTTTGGAAATAATAATATGTTTAGAAATAACGCTTGTGCTTTTGCTTCAGTTCATATTGTAGTCAAACAAGTTAGCCCACTGTTTCCAACTTTATATGTTCCCTTCCAACTTCACATGCTCCATTGGCTTTACTCATTTTTGGCGTTTTCAATCTGACACCATTTAATTGAAGACCGCAGAATGGTTTACTTAAGTGAAAGCACTTAGAAGTATTCAGTATTCTCTCATAAAACAAGCAATCAGCTTTCAACAAGACAGTGGTAAAGAGTTTCCTGTTAAACTATCAGATGTACCTCAGTTATGAAAGGTGTACTAAGGGGAGAAATCTCTAACACTAGACATGCATGTACTGCCACACATATCACATTGAAAGGCACGTGACTTGGATAGATAGAGTTGCTCTATGAAAGACCATAATCAATGACAATATGACATAGTGAATTGTCAGGATCACTTCTGCCTTTGGCAAACTCAGGCAGAGATTCTGCCATGCCTCTGGCAGTCAGGCCTAGCAACCTCACAATCTCAAACTTGTGGGAATCGTGCTGTCATTTGTGGTTTGCCAGAGGCTGTCTTTTCCAGGTGTTGGGCAATATTGCTAGATATCACAGTGGTATTCAAGATGACTCTATAGCATTTCATCTGCACAATATAGAAGACAGATTTGGGAATCCTCCAATTAGCTACATGAACACCATGTTTAGACTAAAACAATGAGCTCTTTGATTACAGCCTTAGTTCCAGTTATAATGAGGGTATGGGTTTTGGCAACTTTTCTATCTCTAATGACATTGTATTGGAAAGGTGTTACTGCACCAAAATGCAGAATTGCCAAGAAAATAATCTCAGGATAACTACCTGAGGAATGGGCAAATTGGCATGGAGAAATAACTAGAGGAGTTAAAGAGTTGTGGGAGGAATGGATTTCAGTTCATGGGGCACAGCACCAGTGCTGGGGTAGAAGGGAGCTATTCCAGTTGGACACCCTTCACATAAACGAACAATGCTGAGACCAGTGTTCAACCGAATCGAATAACTAGGGCTATGGCGAGCGTTTTAAATTACCTGGTGAGGTCAGGGAGAAGTTTCGGGCAGGGGAAACATAATTATAAAGCGAAAGGATATGACGGCATTTCAGGGCAAATGTTTTGATAGTGGTACGCAGAGTGAGACAAAAAGGGACGGTGAAGTCAAGCATAAAAAAAGCAGCAAATGAGATTAATTAACTCAACAAATAGAGATGCATTGGTATGGTCTTACAGCCATTATGGAGGCATCGTTACAAAGAGATCGTAGCTGGCAGCTAAATATTTAGGTGTATGTATCCTTTTGAGAGTTGGCATTAATATATTGGCAAGAAATGATCTTGGATCTGGTGACATAGAATCAGTATGGGTGAAGGGAAGAAAACACTAGTGCGAGTAGTCTTTGGGCCCTTAACAGTAACTGTAGGATAGAGAATAAATCAGAAGATAATGAGGTCAAAACAAGAAGACAGTTTGTTAATTGTTCATGACTTTAATCTTCATGTAGATTGGGAAAATCAAATCCATGAGGAAGAATTCATAGACTGTATTCAGGATAATTTCCTGGAACACTATGTCGTGGATCCAACCAGGGATTAGCTATTTTGGATATGGCGATTGACAATGAGGCACGTTTAATAAATAATCTTATTCAAATCTCCCTTCAGCTTCCTCTGTTTAAAGGAGAGCAAACCCAGTCTATCTAATCTTTCTTCGCAGCTACATTTTTTCCTAGGCAACGTTCTTGTTGATATCCCTGTACCCTGTTTAGTACAATTACGTGCTTTCTGTAATGAGGTGATCACAATTGCTGCATACTGAAGTTGTTGTCTATCTAATGACTTGCACAGTTCCAACGTAATATCACTTCTCTTATATCCTAAACCTCGGATAATGAAGGAAAGGATCCCATATGCAGAATAAGAGATCATGGAGGGAATAGTGACCATAATGTGGTAGAATTTAGATTCAGTTTGTTTGAATTGGAGACAACTGTGCTAAATTTAAATAAGGGTAATTACATAAAGGATGAGGGCAGAGTTGACTGGAGTGGACTGGGAAAGGAGCTTAGTGGAAAAGACAGTTGATAAACAATGACAGATATTAAAAAAGCACAATTCATGACTCACAGCAAAGATCTATCCTATTGAGGAAGAAGAATTCTAGGAAGGGGATAAATTAACCATTTTAACCAAGGACGTTTAAGGATAATATCAAAAATTGAAAGAACTATCATACAATGGGTCGATGTTTAGTAGCAAATAAGAGGATTGGAAAAGTTTTAAAAGCAATAAAAGATGACTGGAAAAAAGGGAGAAAATAAACAAAGACAAACTAGCAAGTAACATCAAAATGGATGGTAAGAGCTTCTTTAAATATATGAAAAGTAAGAGAGAGTCAACAAGTGAACATAGGTACATTAGAGAACAAGATTAGTGAAATAATAACAGGAAGCCAAGAAAAAGCAGAAGAGTTGAACACATACTTTGCATGAGTCCTCATGGTAGAGGATACCAGTGGCATTCCGAAAATAGTAAATAATGAAGG